TCAGCTCTGTCCATGAAAAGGTGCTTTTGTTCCATTTTTTCATGCTGAGGAGCCTGTTGTCTGTAGACCCTCCTGGTCGTGTTTGTCGGCATGGCTGCATGGGCACATTTTACCTTCTCGCCAAGACGGTACATAGTAATCTACTCACATTGCATTTTTTCGAACTGCTAGGTTGGTAGAAGCCAGGGCTAACAGCGGGAGCTCACCCCAACTCGCAGCTTTGAACTGCTGTCCTTCCGGTTAGCAAGTTTTTCTGCAGCTATCACTATAATCTTCTGTGCTACAGCGCCCCCCTATTAAACCCATTAAGTCATAGAATGGGTTCAAAGAAGCCATTTGGTCATCTAATTGGTTCAGAGAACATTTGTCACAGTTCCCTTCTGGGGCTGTGAGAGTATGACTTGCCCAAGATCACCTAGAAGGTTTCTGTGGTTCAGAAGTGATTTGAACACTGGTTGCCAGAGGTGTTGTGTATGCTTTGAATGCGATTTTCCTGCTTCTTGGCAAGGGGTGGGGTTGGATGGCCAACGAGGTCTCTTTTAATATTCAGCCTAGTTTCAATTTTCCATGACAAAGCCAGAATTTGAGCCCTGATCTCTTTGGACCCTTCTAGACAGGCCCTATATCCCAGGATCTGATCACAGGTTTTCTGTTTATCCCAGAATATCTGGCAGCATGGACTCATATAATCCAGTTTAAATCAGAAAACATGGGATCAGATTCTGGGATATAGGGCCTGTCTGGAAGGGCTCAAAGGCTGTCTTGAGATATGCAGTGTTCCCACACATTACAACTGGTGAATGCACACATTACAATTGATGAATGCATCCATTAGCACAGAGGGTTAAATCAATGCCTGCAGAAAAACTTGCTGACCAGAAGGTTGGCAGTTCGAAGCCACAGGTTGGGGTGAGCTCCTGCTGTTAGCCCTAGCTTCTGCCAACCTAGCAGTTCGAAAACATGCAATGTGAGTAGATCGATAAGTACCACCTCAACGGGAAGGTAAAAGGTGCCCATGCAGCCATGCCAGCAAAACAACCAAGAGGGGTCTTTGGACAACAGGCTCCTCAGCATGGAAAAATGGAACAAGAGCACCTCCCCATGGCCAGAGTTGAGCATCGCCTCCAGACACTGGAGATGAAAGGGGAAGGCCTTTACCTTTGTTTGTGTATTGTATGTCGTTGTTTGTTCACTATGTAAAAGGCATTGAATGTTTGCCTTATATATGTATATTGTAATTTGCTCTGGGGTGATAGAGAGGAATATAAATAAAGTGCATTGTTGTTGTTGTTGTTGTTGTTGCTATTGTTACAAGGGGATAGATTAACCTTCGGTTTGGTAGTAAAACTTTAATTACTATGTTGTAAGGTGATTAATGCAGCACAAGGTATGTCACCTATATGAAAAGTTTGGAAAGCTGTGGTCTAGAGAAACCATTTTCCTCTAGAAATGGGCAAGAAAGCCACGAAAATGGGTTCTGCAGTTATAGTAAAGGTAAAGGTTTCCCCTTTACATTACGTCTGTTACTGTCCAACTCTGGGGGGGGGGGGGTGCTCATCATTTCTAAGACGGAGAGCTGGCATTGTCTGTAGACACCTCCAAGATCATGTGGCCAGCATGACTGCATGGAGCACAGTTACCTTCCTACAGAAGTGGTACCTATTGATCTACTCACATTTGCATGTTTTCAAACTGCTAGGTTGGCAGAAGCTGGGGCTAACAGCAGGAGCTCACCCTGCTCCCATATTTGAACTGCCAACCTTTCAATCAGCAAGGTCAGCAGCTCAGCGGTTTAACTTGCTTCACCACCAAGGGCCCCTCTGTACTTATAGGGGGGTCTTAATCTATTCCAGACCAAATCAGATCCATTAGTGACATTGTAAGTTGTATCAGCCTTCTTTCTGCAAGCACGGTATTGTTCTTTGTCCTTTTGGCTACTAATGTCTCTTTTCCTCCCAGAGCCACCGCCTGGAGGACCAGCGCACGGAGCCACCCATCCCAGTAGGAATTCAGGGACTGCTGGATTTGCTGCTGAGAGCCCAAGGGACCCGGATGGAGGACCAGCGCTCGACTCTTCCCCCAAGCCTTGCCGCATCCTCCTTGCAAAGAAGGCAGCCCTCCTTCCTCCACGGCATGTGAATCCACTGCCTTTCAGCTGTTGGGTTGCAATGGACACTTGCTGGAAACATTAGAAATTGTGTTGCCTTTCAATTAACAGTAGTTGGGACTGAGAAATCGAGCTCACGCAGCGAAGGTGCCACGTTTTGCGGTAACAAAGACTGCGCAATACAATGGCAGGATATCTCCAAGCACTGCATTGCAACCTGATAATCGCTTCTGTCTGGCTAAGATTTCCTTCTGTCCTAAGAATAACAAGGAGTTGCCTTCCACTCAGCTACTGGAGATAGCCGTAGTATATAGTATCTCTTGTAAGAACCACAGATATCACAAAGTAGTAAGCAAGTTTTGGGGCGTTCGACGAACTCTTCCTCAGGCCAAACTAAGGGGAAAAAGAGAAGGACTTCAACAAAGATACCCTTTCTCAATATGTGACTGGCTTTCAGATGGTGAAAGCGGTTAGTATTGCGGACTGATGAAGTTGATGTGTGCCTGGGATTCATTATACCTGCCAGAAAAGCAGTTCTGTTCGCACATAATGCAGGGTCTTCATTCAGGGATGTGCAATGTTTGCCCTTCCAGATTTTGCCTTGTTGCAACTCCCATAATCTCTAGCCAGGATAGCGATGCTGAGGGATGGTGGGTTTTGAAGTCCAACTGTATCTGGAAGGTCACGTGTTGTCTACCTCTGTTCTAAAGATAGGCCTTGGAAATGTAGCCGGAAAATTTCAAAAACATGAACTCCAGTTTACCCAAATTTGCCTGTAAAAGAATGGTTTAATTTGCTTCTATTAAAAAAAATATGGATATTGTTTTGTTGGATTGTTTCATCTTGGGGTAATCCACCCTGAGTCCCCTTGTGGAAAACAAATATAGTTTTATTATTTTTTAGTAGCCATCCCCTGCCATACGTTGCTGTGGCCCAGTCTGTGTATATGTGCTTTGTATGTGTATGTGGGTATATATTTGTGTATATGTGTGTGTGTGCGTATGTGGTTTTGTGCATGTGTTGTAATGTACTTTTTGGTTTTTTTGCTTTTTAAGTCTCTTCTGCTGTGTTTTTCAATGTTTTTATGAGTGATGGTCACTTGTTGGCCTGATACTTTTATTGTGTCCAAATTTGGTGTCGATTCATACAGTGGTTTTTGAGTTATGTTAATCCCTCAAACGAACATTATATTTTTATTTATATAGACTAGCCGTCCCCTGTCACGCGTTGCTGTGGCCCACATGGGGGTTCTGTGTAGGAGGTTTGGCCCAATTCTATC